CCGATTATCCGGACATCCGATTATCCGGACATCCGATTATCCGGACAACCGATTATCCGGACATCCGATTATCCGGACATCCGATTATCCGGACATCCGATTATCCGGACATCCGATTATCCGGACATCCGATTATCCGGACATCCGATTATCCGGACATCCGATTATCCGGACATCCGATTATCCGGACATCCGATTATCCGGACATCCGATTATCCGGACATCCGATTATCCGGACATCCGATTATCCGGACATCCGATTATCCGGACATCCGATTATCCGGACAACCGATTATCCGGACATCCGATTATCCGGACATCCGATTATCCGGACATCCGATTATCCGGACATCCGATTATCCGGACATCCGATTATCCGGACATCCGATTATCCGGACATCCGATTATCCGGACATCCGATTATCCGGACATCCGATTATCCGGACATCCGATTATCCGGACATCCGATTATCCGGACATCCGATTATCCGGACATCCGATTATCCGGACATCCGATTATCCGGACATCCGATTATCCGGACATCCGATTATCCGGACATCCGATTATCCGGACACCGATTATCCGGACAACCGATTATCCGGACATCCGATTATCCGGACATCCGATTATTCGGACATCCGATTATCCGGACATCCGATTATTCGGACATCCGATTATCCGGACATCCGATTATCCGGACATCCGATTATCCGGACATCCGATTATCCGGACATCCGATTATCCGGACATCCGATTATCCGGACATCCGATTATCCGGACATCCGATTATCCGGACATCCGATTATCCGGACATCCGATTATCCGGACAACCGATTATCCGGACAACCGATTATCCGGACAACCGATTATCCGGACATCCGATTATCCGGACAACCGATTATCCGGACATCCGATTATCCGGACATCCGATTATCCGGACATCCGATTATCCGGACATCCGATTATCCGGACAACCGATTATCCGGACAACCGATTATCCGGACAACCGATTATCCGGACAACCGATTATTCGGACATCCGATTATCCGGACATCCGATTATCCGGATATCCGATTATCCGGATATCAGATTATCCGGACATACGATTATCCGGACATACGATTATCCGGACATCCGATTATCCGGTCATCCGATTATCCGGACATCCGATTATCCGGACATCCGATTATCCGGACTTCGGATTATCCGGAATGTTATTTAAATTCAGAACCTAAATTTGGTATCGATCAAATGGACCTTTTGTCGAATAACATTTTTCCAGTTATTCGGGCTCCGATTGAATTATACGATTCTTGATTCTCTAGAAATTGTCTAGAATATACCTTATTTAGCAAAACAACGTTTGCCGGGTCAGCTAGTCTTATATATAAAAATGGAGCTCTCTTTCAAATGTCCGAATAAAACTCGAAAACGGCTGAATCGATTGGGCCAGTCTTAGTCTTGAAAAATTCGTACTAATCTAGAGAATGTCCAAAAGGTAAGAAATTATTTCAAATCCGCGTAGAAACTTTACATTTTGAATTTGAAAATTTTTGTTGAAGAGTAATTTAAATAAAACAATTGACGGTGGCAATTTCGTGAAATGTCAAACGCTTTTGACAGATGATGTTCAATTACGTTTAATAGGATGTTTTACGCGAATATTATTTAATTATGATAAATTTGTAGTAAGTAGTTTTGTTTGTAGTTTTATTTATATACAAAAACGTTAGTAAACGGGCAGCAAGTGTTACTAGAGACTCAAAATATCAACTTTTTTGAAATGTTAATATGAAAATGCACTTTTTGGCATATTTTTCTCAAACACTGTGCTCTGAAAGATCTCATTTGTATAATTATATACTCATTGGTATTTATAAAACATTTTCTAGGTTATATTATTTTTTATTTATGTTATTTAAATTCAGAATCTAAATTTGGTATCGATCAAATGGACATTTTATCGAATAACTTTTTTCCAGTTATAATTTCCCAGAATTTATCGCAGAATAGATAGTAATATATGAAGGTCCGGGATTAAAAAGGTCCACCACCGATGTGCCAAAAATCAGTAAAGTTAAGCATTGTTTAACAACAATATTTGAAAGTAGAGGAAAAAAGATGTATAGCCAGCTACAACCTTGATTAGAAAACGATAATCTTTGAAATGGGGGAGATAAACGGTAATCTTTGAAAATCCATAATAAAAGTATTTTCTTCCGTTGGTAGTTTTAGCATTAGTTAAAAATGTAATTATTTTGTAAAATACTTTTAGAATTATAATAAGGCTTTAAACCTTTTGCCACCTGCCCGTTACAAGTTACCCTACATATAGGATAAAAAGGTCTAGATAATAAATTTTTGAAAGACATCAAAAAAGCACATTTCTACAATGATGAAGTAGAAGTCAGTTTACTGAACGTAGTCAGATAATTGTTCGTTTGATATGTGTTATTTGTTGTGATATAATTGTTATGGTTTTCACAATATAGTTTATATTTGCTCAAAGTCAAATTGGACCTTTGTGCCTCGCCCTGCTCTACATATATACTTTTTATTAAATTTACTTTAATTCATCGAATGTAACTTAATTCATTTTTTATCTCTCCTCGCAAAAATTTGAAAATTTTGTATAAGCTCAGTAGTATTATTTGCAATTATACACAAAATCCAGAATCCAAAAAGAATCTGAAAAACTTGAAACGTAATTAATAAGCCGAAAAACCAAAAAAGACTCGGATTGGATTATACGATGTTTTCTATAGAAAGTGTATAAAACTTGCAGTTTGATTGTATTGACAAAATATAGACAAACTAATGGGGTTTATTGTTTTTATAATACCTAATTGTATACAGCATTCAAACAACACATCCTTATGCATGAAATGGTTTAGAATATACCTTATTTAGCAAAACAACGTTTGCCGGGTCAGCTAGTATTATATAAAAAAATCAAAAAATATAAAAAATCGTTGCTTTTTTTTGTTAATTTTTCTGTTTTATATAATGAAAATCAATATTTATTTTTTTTCGGCGCCTTTGATTGCGATTACCAATAAGTTTGGTAGGTTTTCAAGGAACTCTCGTCATGAAAATACTAACATTCATGTTACAACACAAAGCAAAGAATATATACAACGCAGTTTGAATAGAAAATACCATGAAAGAAGACAAAATACTGGTTTACATATATCAAAAAGCGTATATTTCATACAAAATGTATGGGTGGTCTAGACAGACCTTATCCTTCTGAACGTTTTTTCGTCCTGATTTTTTCATTGATCGACAGCTAATGAAATTTTAAGAAAAGTCAAGAAATTTCAAGTCGATAGGATTACTAGAAGTTTTTTTTTTTAATTGAAGTCGAAAATGTCTGGCCAGACCACGTCGACCGACGGAGGGTTAAATCAAAACTATGACGGCAATTTTAGTTATGCTAATCCTGGAAGAGGGGCGGGGGCTTTAAAATAACAAATGCTATTTAAGGATGCAATAATTTATTTTTTTTAAATAAATCTTCTTTTTTTAAATCATATTGTGATGGACTTTTAGTAAGAACTTTATTATTTGATTATGTATATGTAATACTTTTTATCTACAATATTATATTATATCTTTTTTATCAATGATATTATATTATATTTTTTCGATCTATATATTTTTTTCACTTTTGGGTCTTGAATAAAATTATATTTAATTTTCTTCATGTTTTGAAAAAAAAGAAAGTTCGTTTGTTTTCATAATTTTTGTTAATTTTCTAATTAATTTTCGAAAAACCTGGACAAATCAGCACGAAAGATCTAAATCCGGGACAAATATTGCTTTTAAAAAAAACCTGGGATACAAGGTGGAAATCAGGGACTGTCCCGACCAAACCGGGACGTATGGTCAACTTATATTTAGACCATATGGCGCCTGAATTAAATAAATGGTTAGGAACATTTGGAACTTTTAGCAATCGACAAAAGTTTCAAAAAAAAAAAAAACTGCGGAAACCCAAAAATATAGCAATAACCTACGTTTACGGATTATAGTAAAAAAATGATACATAGAGTACTTACCGTATCTATATTAAATATAACATCAATTAATATTTAAATATTTTTAATAAATTTGTTATAGAATTTGAAATTTAACAAATAATAATATTTCTATATAAATCATGATTTGCTTCTGACAAAATCTATCTAAGCAAGCGGCACGTAACAAATAAAATCATGGGTAAGTATGCCTCGAACTTCGATAATACTATAATTAAAATCACTTCATCATAAAATCATCAATTAAAGATCGCATCATATAATATATATATATATATATATATATATATATATATATATATATATATATAATATACTATAGAATTGTGTGCATAAATTCTCGTAGCTTTGTTAAAGTGAGAGTATAATAAGTTTATGTTTGCCAAAATTCAAATTCATCAAATACAATGGTGATATAATATATAATATACTAAAATATGTATTAATAATTAATTATAAAATTAATTAATAATTGTTATTATGGAAGATTTCTATAGACTATAGTTAATTACTGGGAACAACAAATCATACTAACAAATATTTCAGAGTCAAAAGTTCGATTGCGGCTTATATACATGCTTATTTAAAAGATTATTTGCGCATACCATGAAACCATTAATTTGTATTTTAATAGTAATTCATAAACTGAGGTACATAATTTAAACTATTTACACTAACTATTTACAACTAAAATTAAATAATAAACTTCTTTAAATTAACGCTTTATTTTTAGTTTCTGCTAGCTTGTTTTATTGCTACTTTGAATATAGAATTGCAAAATTGTTAACAAAATGAATAATGTATCATGGATATAAATTCATAAAAAAATAATAATAAAATAATAATTTTGAATATCAGATACATGTTTTTCCCGCCAAATGTGCTGTCAAATTATTTCTACATAACTTCATGCCAGTATGCATTTATCAAACACTTCAACAGAAGCCATTATGAAAAAACTCGTTTAACGCACACATATTTTATTTTATTGTAAATTATACAAAATAATAAATGACAGCATGACTGGAAATGTAAAATCAAATATCATAAAGAAGTCTTCGTTCGAAGCTGAGAACAATGAGAATAATGTGCATGAAACTATTTGGGGGCAACTAGTAGTTATACGACGACTTCACAAAAAATTTGGTATTTTGTTAAGATGATTTACAATTGTTTGCATGCTTGTTGGTTTTCTCCAATATCAATAGTGTTTTATCGTAGATCTTTCTAAATTGGAGTATGCAGTTGGCAGAGAAAATTGTGACATAAATTTGACTACAGACGAAATGTCTGTTGAACACCTACAATTTATATCTAGGACACATTTTAAACTTAAACGAGACAGTTGGAATTCTCCTGTTTATTTAGAAGTGAGTTGTTAAGAATATTTAGCTGAGTAACAAATGTACTCTTGTAATGCCATTAAATTTTCTGCGTAAAGGTAAATGTCTGCAAATTTTGATTCACAAACCATTTCAAATTCTTCGAATCATCATAAAAAGTTATATCCTTGGCAGTTTCAATGTTGAATGAAATTTTGAGTTTATTCTTTGATATCTCGTTCCTATTATCATCAATTGAATATATTGATATCACTTATGCATTAATATTCATGAGATGTTATATTTTTGTATAAATATGCGAATAAAGTTAATATACATCTTGATAATATTATTAGAATTCGAAGTTGTTTAGAAGGAGAAAATTTATTTTTGATTTCCTTTTTCTGATATAACATAATTTATTTTTAATATCATGTTTCAATTTATAATAATAGTAATAAATAGCCTATTATAATTGATAATAATATACTTTTCACGGTGTGTCTTTTTTGTGAATAGATATTACATTGTTTTCATGCAGTTGATAGAAGATTTTATGTATAAAACTTTAATAAATAAAGTTTTCATTTGAGTGCATTTCAGGATTTTTCTCGAAATGGAACATTCATAAATGGTGAAAAAGTTGGCAAAGGAAACCAAAGAATATTGCAAAATGAAGATGTTATTGCAATAGGTAGTGATTTCAGAAAATGTAAGTTTTTATTTGGTTTTCCATACATGTGTATTTAGCTTTGTCCATTGTATAAACATGACTTACTTTGTTATAATTGTTCTATTATTATTTATAGTGTTTAGATTTTTTGATCGTTTCACACATACTGTGGATAAAATCCCAAAGCTCATCAAAGATGACTACTACATTTCCCGTGAGCTTGGAAGCGGTGCATGTGGTGTTGTGAGATTAATATTTAACAAAAGGACATGTGATAAATTTGCTATGAAGCAGATCATCAAGAGTAAAGCAGATGATGAAAAGAAATTAAATCATCCTAATCGTATTATGAATGAAATTAATATTATGAAAAAATTAGATCATGTGAGTAAATTGTTAAATTTGAATTAGTAAGAAGATGAGTAAACATATTCAAAAATTCATTCATTAATATTTGATTTATAATTTTGATTTCACTGATTTCTTGTAATGAAATAAGTAAAACAGCAATTTTCAATGCTTTAATTTGAGGAATTATATGTTGATATAATTTTAGTGGCAAACGTGTTAAATTACAATACTTCAAAACCACACATAGATAATTCTTCTAAGTATGCTTTAATGTTTTGTTTTTCATTATTTAGTATAACTGTGACCCAATTCATGATGTGGAATTTTCTAATAAATTTAATGTGAAATTCCTTGAACTAATTAATATTTATATAGTACTCGAATCTGGTTGAATCTGGTAAAGTTATAATTTATTTTACTTACTTATAATATATTTTTTAGCCATTCATAGTTAGTGTCTACAACATTGTTGAAACTCCTGAAGCAGTATTTTTGATATTGGAGCTTATGAATGGAGGTGATTTATATAATAAAATTAAAGAGTCGAAATATCTGAAAGAACCAATAGTTAAGAATATTATATACCAACTAGCTGTTGCTGTTAATTACTTACATCGACAGAACATCACACATAGAGATTTAAAAGTATTAAATTGAATATCTTAGCTGATATAATAATTTATATAATAGCTATATTAATATCTTATTTCATTTTAGCCTGAGAATATTCTGTTACAAAGCAATAGTGATGATTCAATAGTCAAACTATCAGATTTTGGCTTAAGTAAAATTGTTGAAGGTAACACAGTGTTACAAACTGAATGTGGTACTGCATGGTATGTTGCACCCGAAGTGATATTAAAGAATTATAAAACTTATACTGAAAAAGTTGATGTTTGGAGTCTCGGTGTAATATTATATGTTTGGTATGTATTTATGTAGGCAAAAGATTGATATATTTTTTTATAAATTTATCATTAATTCTATTTGAGTGGGAGTTTTTTTTTCAATACTTCTGACAATATGACAATAATTTTATCTTTGCAAATAATAACTGACCATATAATATATTTGTCTTTCAGTCTTTGTGGATGCTTACCCTTCTCAGCAGCTGATCAAATTTGCAAAGGAAAATACTCTTTCAAACAAAGTATTTGGTCTTCGGTTAGTGCTGAATGCAAGGATTTAATTTCTAAAATGTTACAAGTAGATCCAAAAACTAGATATAGCAGTTCCGAAGTTCTTAATCATAAATGGTTACAGGTTAGATATGAATCATTTATTATATTGTTCATCAATGCAACTGGTATGCCAATTGTATTTAGAAATATTAGTGACATTACTAGATTAACAAACTATATTATTTGTTGTTAGTGATTTGCTTTGCACAAAATGAAGTATTTGCATTTTTTATATTTTACTTAAATTTTATGGCATATTAATAATGTTTATATATTTTTATATAGGATCCTGATGTTATTAAGCGTTATAATGATTTATTAAATCAGGAAAATGAAAAACAAGAAATTACTGTTTCTGATTTGGAAGATTCAATAAATGAACATTATAATAATTCTTGTCCTGAAAATTGTCTAGATATAATAGAACCACCTGCCAAACGTCATCGAAGTCTACTTATTTTTTAGCGATTCAAAAGTTTGATTTGTTATCAGTATTAAAAGGAACAAAATGTACATGCTACATACAAAGGTACTTCTATGCTCTAAGTAATAAAATGACATAAAAAATTACATTTAAAATATGAAATATTTTTATAAATAATAGTGAATAATACTTTTGATAATTGCACCCTGAGAAAAAAAAGCATACATTATGATAATATTTTCTTCGTTGTAAAACACAGTAAATTCTGCAAATCAAATCAAATTAATTGTTCGGCCATGTCATGTGTATGCATATTTTAAAACTAAGTTTCTTTACCTAAATTTTTAACTTTCAATTTTAATTAGTTTTTCAGATATTCATATTTTATAATATTTATTGCAAAAATATAATTTATCTAGCTTTTTCTGTTTGCATGCTAAGAGCATAGAAGTGTTGTTAGCATTTGTTTATTTTGGGTTTAACTCATAGTTTTAAGTTGAGAACATGTACCTGATTTTGATTATAATATGTTGCATGTTACCTCAGTTGTGCTCCACAATGAAATGTACCTAATAATTTAAGAATGTTATGAATTGAGTTACTTTATCAGAATATATTTTTTATTATTGATGAATAATTACACATTTGTTTTAATTTGGAATGTATAGTATACTGTAGGTGTAAAAGTGTTTAATATCATTCTTACATACAACTAAAAACTTTTGTGAACTTCTTTGTGCAAAATTATATATTGAAGTACTTCAACCAAAGCCTCCGGAGCATAATTCAAATCCAAAAATTTGAGAATAATTCTGTGAAAATAGTTAAAACATAAGGTTGAAATAATGTATTATTTTTATATTGCACACTTTAATATACCTAAGTAAAGTTGGGTTTAATTTTACTCCAGCTAAGTTGGAAAGAGTCAAATATTCACTTTCTGGAATCATTTTTTTTTACTTCAATTCAATATAATATTCTACTTCAATAAGAATTACACCATGAAAAATGCGAAAAGACCTCTCAGTTTAATCCAAAACTTAAAGTTGCTTCCAATTTATAATGTATTGCCAATTGTTTTAAGACTTTGTACAAAACCGCTTCTAACGATGTGTTTAAATAAATAATTCATTTGCTTCGTAACGTCAAAATGTGTCAATTTTTTGTTTAGAGTGAAGTTAGTTAATTTAATCATGTTGCACAACACTAGAATAATTATTTTCGTTATGTTGGTAATTCTGTAAAAATGTCAGACGAAACTTCATTTGCCGCCGCCAACGCGCCAACTTAGACACCTTGCTCATTTTCAAAAGTTTTGACAACGGATCTCATAATCTAAAAAAAATACTTCAACATTTTTCTGTGCTGCTGTTCTCATAAGTTTGTTTGCAGATTACTCTAATGAGAAATTTAAAAGATATGATACGTACATAAAGTGAACAAAAAATCAGAGATATGCATTTTGAAAATGCCACGTCCACCGTGATAAACCAAGCCTACCACAACCATCACGATAGAAAATAATCTGCTGAAAATCGACGTGTTGACACTTTGGAATTTTCACTGATGTTTCGATGTCTGTAGACTTAAATTACACAATTGAAAATGCTAAAATGTGATATTATTATACGATAATAATACGTTATTAGGCCGAAATGAAATTGGTTCACAAAAATGTGGAAAAAAATGGAGAAGGGTCAGTTGAAATAAAATATTATGTTGTTTTCTTATGATTACCAGAGGTTATGTTTTTAATTACTTTTTTAGGAGTGTTTCCCTTATTCCCGAAGAATCGGAGGATATGTGGCATGCTTTTAATTTAATATCTGAAGGCGACTCCGTTCGAGCATCAACGATAAGAAAGGTATGATAAAAATATTTTTCATAATAATTACTACATTTTCTTCAATATTACTTTAGTTTGTTTACCGCTTTACCCATCTTATCTTTTTTGAAATATCTTAGGAATTGTATAACATGGAGCCTTCATTGCTGTTTATAATCTTACACTGATTCTATCAATTATACTTGTCATTCATAATATCTTCCGTGTTTTGTTCTGTGCTAAATTTTCAGTTTTATCAATTCGCATACTCTCTCTCCTTTGAGAAAAAACTTTAAATGCAGTTTTCCAAAATGTATTTATATAAAGAATATTTTAATACTGATTTTCTTTATATAATATTATTCACTAATAACATATGTTACTTCTATATATGGCTTTCTGTAATTTTCTATGAATTATTGCATGACAAAAATCAAAAATATCTTAATAATGCTACTTTATGCCGACTGTATATGTATAAATGGCCAATTAAATTATGTAACAAAATTTTAATTTATAAAAATTTCTTTGAACATACAAAACATATTCATAGTTTTAGCAAAAGAACTAAACCATCACTTATATTTATATTGCAGGTTCAGAATGAATCCGCAACAGGTTCTTCCACCAGCAACAGAGTTCGCACGATTTTAACAATTAGAGTAGAAAATATAGATTTTGATACTCAAGCTTGCATGCTGCGACTTAAAGGTCGAAACATTGAAGAAAATCAATATGTCAAGGTAAGAACCTATTAATATGATATAAATGTTAAAATATAATAGTACACTTAATTTAATAAAATTTCTACAACCATGTCAATAATTAAATTTTATAAGAGTGAGTTTCAAAGTAGTTAATATATTTTTTATATATTTATTTGAAATATTACAATTTACAATTACTTTTTAATGATTAATCAAATTATGATTTCATTGGCTAAGCAAACAGAATATTTTTGCAAATCAAATTTATAGTGAATAGTACCTTTTTATAACTAGCAACTTCTACTCTCATTTATGAAAAACAATTAGAATTATTTTAAGGAATAGAGTATTTTTTAAAAATGATTCAATACATTAACAGTTCTATTAAACAAATCAAAAACCATATTATATTTGATAATGTTAAAATTACATAATATATCAAGTGAGGTTTAAAAATATTTGAAAAAGGTGCCTTACTCCTTAAGACCTGATTAAGTAAAATATATTTAACTTTATTCAAAAATGTTTATGTATTAGCATTGCAACTACATATTGCAAATATGTACATAAAATGGCTAAGCTATAAAATGATATTTTTTTTTGTAGATGGGTGCTTATCATACTTTAGATTTAGAACTAAATCGAAAATTTTCACTTCATAAACAATTATGGGATTCAGTTGCATTAGAACGAGTGGATTGTGCGTGTGATATAACACAAACAGCCGATGTTGCAGCTGTGGTTATGCAGGAAGGATTAGCACATGTTTGTTTAATTACATCAAGTATGACTCTTATAAGAAGCAAAATTGACCAAAATATACCTCGAAAAAGAAAAGGCTTTGTGTCGCAACATGAAACGGTAATTACTTTATGATAAAAAATACAATATAATTTTGTATTTTTTTTTTAGCAGTTTTAGACATTCAAAATTCAATTGCTTAATTATAAATACAAAAATAACAACTGATAGACAATAAGATTTTTCAAAACACTAATGTACAAAAATTGATTCAAAAAGAACACATGAAAAGATTAATATAATTTTGGCTTTGTAATATGAAAAGTATACAACGTTATATAAATCTATCTTTTTGTATTTAAAATGCAAGTTCAAACAGGAATGTGTGACCACACTCACTACGTTTTTAATATTACTATTCGATAAATTAAAAAAGTCATAATTTTTACATAAAATAAAATTATATATATATATATATATATATATATTTAAAATATATGAATTATATCTTTAAAAACATATTTAATATTTTAATTGAACTGTTTTTGATGCATGTTTTATATTTTATACAGTTATTATATTTTAACTCTATATCAATAGTTGATCATAATAAAACTAAGATATCACTCTCAATGTAGGTACTATTTATTAATGAAACTCTCTAAAATATTGATTTCTTTATTTCAGGGTTTAGCGAAGTTCTATGAATCAGTTATGCAAGCTATTTTACGTCATGTGAATTTTGAAATTGTGAAATGTATCTTGATAGCATCTCCTGGATTTGTGAAAGAGCAGTTCTTTGATTATATGTTCCAGAAAGCTGTGAAATCTGACATCAAAGTATTATTGGAAAATAAATCAAAGTTTATGTTAATTCATGCTTCTTCAGGATTTAAACATTCTCTTAAAGGTAATTCAATTTTTTTTTTTTTAACTATTAAAACACTATATAGACTTTTCTAACCTAACTGTACTACAATTCGAACAAAATTTATTTATTGAAGAATTATAGAAGTATCATCTTTAACTATTTATAACAATAAGACAATAAACTATGAATATTACATTGGATATAATAAATTTAAATATATGAATAATAAATATTAATCAAAACGATTATATTAAATATTGTAATTTTATTAGTTACACCTAAATCAATATACAACCAACTAAACATGATAGCATTTTGTTTCAAAGGTTTTAACAGCGTTTGAAGTAGAATAGATTATTTGATCTAAGGATAAATGACGAATTGATATCATAAGAAAAGTATGAAAATGTTTACATTTAAAAACAGTAAAGTTTTATAAAATTGAAATTATAAACAAATATTAGATTAAACATTTATAACGTTCTTAAAAATATGCAAGAAAGTACTAACAAAATTTACTTTAAGGCACATGCCAAAACAATTATTTTGAGCATTTTGATTTTTGTACTAACATATTTCTTCTTTTTTTTTTAGAAGTACTTCAAGACCCTTCTGTTTTATCTAGAATTTCAGACACAAAAGCTTCAAGTGAAGTCAGGGCTTTAGAGAGTTTTTATACCATGTTGCAATGTGAACCTGATAAAGCATTTTATGGTAAAAAAGATGTGCTTAGAGCTGCTGAAGCTCAGGCTATTGAAACCCTTATGATATCTGATAATTTGTTCAGGTAATTAAATTAATAATAATGTTATCATTGTCATTATCATAGTGGGTGTTCTAGACTGGAAGTTTTAAGAAATCGATTTTGTTTATATTTTTAAAGTGCAACTATTCACAAATATGCGTAGAGAGGATTTTACAAAATATAAATTGATTTTGAAGGTGTAGCTGTTTGAGCACAATAATTCTCTTCTGTTTTAATTAAACAATACCTCAATTTTCTCAACTTCTAAAGGATTTTGTGATTTTTTTTGACAACTTATCTGTTGTTCATAT